TCCTTACCGAGAAACTCGGGACTCCAGACGTTGTCACATTGAAGGAAACTGCAGGTTACATCCTTGCGGAATTTTACAAGCAGCCCAAGGACGATGATCCTCAGCAGCAGAAAATTCACATCATAAATACAGCCGCAAGCCTCATCCGTGGTGACATCAAGACAAAGGTATGTTCAAAGGACACCTACCCAGACATTGGTGTAGAAGACCAGCTGTCCTTCCTCCCAGAATCACTCCATGTCCTGATTTCGAATATTTTCAAGGGGAAAGACTTTTCAACAAAAACTGCTGCAATAGGACAAGCCATAATGCAGATTACCCGACCCAATACAGTTCTTGCCCCATTACAGATCGGATTAGCTGTCTAAATGCATAAAATGTTTGCATCACGGTTTTTGGAGGATACCCTCAATTACCTTGGCTTCTGCTCGTCATACAGGGAGGTGCGTAAGTTTGAGATGAACGCAGCTGTGGAACAAGGCACTGACCTCCCGCCACTCTCAGAGGGTGACAATGCCCAGTTTGTGGCAGACAATGCTGACCACAACACAGCAACAATAAGTGGTCACAATTCCTTCCACGGCCTGGGCATCATTGCCGTAACTACACCAAAGCGAGACGAATCCAAGAAGGTCCCGAGAAAAGACGTCAAAGTCAAAGACATCATTGCCGTTGTACGAATTGGAATCTATTTCTACAAGTATGTTCGTGAACTTCTCTTTGCCCAAACACGTGTATTCTCTCTCTGTCTTTCTCTGGTATGGCTGTGTAAATTTTGATATTATGAGAACACCTGTTTTATACTACTAATTTGGATATAACGTCATTTCGGCCAATGGCCACATGGAAAATAAGAATGGGAACGAAGGCTGTTCATTGCCAGTGTGTGTGTGCGCGTGTGTGTGTATGTGTGTGTATAGGTAGGTGAGTGTGTGTGTGTGTGTGTGTGTGTGTGTGTGTGTGAGGAGGGAGGACATTACAAGCATTGCCCCCCTCACGCTCTCCCTTTCTGTCTGTGTTTATATCAAGTAACCGAATAAATTCGGAAATAATCGAATAAATTCGTATGGCTATAAAACGCGTCGCAAATCAAGTTTTCAAGAAAACACTGCACTCGGACAACTAACCCTACCGTAACTCTCAACTAACCGTAATCAGGGGAGCAAAGCCCTCCCATCCACCTTCCCCCTTCTGAAACAAATTTATTCGATTATTTCCGATTTAATCGGTTATTCGATTTTGACCGCGCAATTGAATCATTGCCTTTATTTCGCAAAAAACATATTTTGCCCCATTACATTTTCCTCGATTTTTGCTTGCGAGAAGGGTAATGTATTTCCATTAAAAAAAACAACGAGTTTTAAAGCAATTAGTTCAAGGTTAGGGCATATCAGGCCAAAATATTACCACCCTACAAACACTTTTTTGTATGGCGACGAGTCGGGTGATCATCCCGACCCGACCTGACCCGGTACGGGTCACTGGGCGGCGGCACGGCAGGTACCCCGTAGTGCAAAGGAGCGAATTGTCCCCCTTGGCGTCGTTATTTTTAGTCGTGGAACAAAATCTCTGTGTTTTTAATGAAATTTTATTATTTTCCCAAATTTTGCGGGAAATTGGCTAAAATTCGCGAATTAACGAAAATGGTAAAAGTTGCGCGAAAGTTGCGCTGACGGCAAAAGTTGCGCGCGCAACTTGCGGGTTGCGGGCGTGAATTTCTCTGAGGACAGGTACGTTGTTCTGGGCCTACCCCTGCCTCGCTTGCCCTCAATTTTGTCAGTGAGAGCTAGATGTTCAAGACCCTTATGTCTATT